TATAATTGCATATTGATATAATTGCTCACTTCGCCTCTGTACTCGTACGTCATATCGGCTATGAGAAGCGAATCCCTTGGTATCTGCAGAGTGAAGCGTATGTAATCTTTAGCGCGAGGATCTTGCCATCGACCGTCTTCATACTGGAATATAAACGTGTTCTGAAAAGAAAGAACCTATGGATCCAGGAACGGCAGCTGACCATTGTCGAACATAAAGCGTATCAGAACGCGTACGTACGCCGAGAGCAATGATCAGCACAGGTTTTCTGGAGCAGGTAAGGAAGAGACGCGGGCTGAATTTCGACAGCTGAAACGGCGTCCCTTGACTCATTACCCATTGAGGGTCTTCAGGCTAGAAAAGAAAGCAAAATATGCAAACAAGTCGCAAGTATGAAACGCCATTGTCGTACGCCGCAGATCTCTTGAAATTTCATGTTCGGTGAAGGGCGGGGAGGCGGTGGTCTCGGAAGTTCTGGAATCTTCCAGTATGCCAAACATCTTGCCCTGAGATCACTTTGTCGATAGTCTTCGAGCGTAATGTTTTGAGCAAAAACTTTGTACTTTTGCAAATAATACGTCTGTCGGCTGGCAAACCTAAATGCAAACACAACATGTTGTATGCATTTAACACAGCGGCTCATTTTTGAAGTAACAACAGTAAAAGAGAGTAGCCAGTTCAGTCTCCTTCATGATTAAAGTTAAATCCCTAGTTTTGCTTTGGCGTTTTTGTAGAGTGCTACTTGAATATCATTTTGCTGATAGCAACTGATATTGCCAAAGCGAATAAACTACTCCTTTTCTTGTTTTTCTTCCTTTTTCAGCACTGTACACAAGTATTATGGGATGACACGATAACGTGAAACGGTCAGAATTTACGATCACCACACGACAACGTCGTTTCAACAGCGTGCGAATGATGAACCATTTGAACCAGTTTCTTATGCCAGATTCTTCAAGTGTCTCCAGAAGCTCAGCGTAAGCTCATCTGTCATGTTGAAAGAGGCCTACTGAAGTGGTTCAGACCCAGAAACATTCTAGCTTCATGGCTGTTCAAGTGCTACTGACCTCAATGAGGAAACAAGCTATCACATGGACTCCGGAGAGGAAGTTCAGCAGGTAATAAGTTCCGGCTCACGATTCAGCTGCTGTTCAGAACCAAACGATTGATTTGTGACGTTTCTTGCGGAAACCAGTAAATAGTAGATAAATACTGTTCATGAGGGAGGGGGCAAGGAAAGAATTTATTCAGATTTCATTAGGTACTTTGGGGGTGCGGATTCGAATTCAAACGCAGCATAAAGCTTCTTATCAACTTCTGATTTCCTTGAGCAAAGAATTCATCCCACAGTACCCCTCAGTGCAGCCAGCCAAGACGGATAACAAACATCTGACATGCACAGAAAGAGACAGTACTGT